TGATCGTATGATTCGTATGAAACCATAAAACAGAGCAATACAGTGCATCACCTGACTGGGAAATACAACTTAAGCCATTGCGTGATGTCACTCTTATACTGGGTAAAACTGCCCGTAAACCTGCATAATGTTATCCCTATAAATGCTACGGACAAAGGTAAACTCGTTAGTTTTAATTAAATCGTCTGTAATAAACCTTTTCAAGGCAAACCTGTCCCTTTACCAAAAATCATCAGCCGCGTACTTGTTTTTCTAGTAATCTGTACCAATGTATGTTGTTGACATAAATACAGTAAAAATATTAAAACAGTTTTAAACAACCATAAAAAGAACTTCTTTGTCATGTGAAGGCATCGGAAGCAAATATGTAATAAATGACATGGAAACGGGGAATATCTAAAATTGATTTAAGTTAAAATACTTATACATAATAAATTATATGAATACAGGAAGTTAGGAGAAAATTATGGAACGGTGTCTTATGTGATGCTTTGTATTTATTCTATGCAGTCTTGTCTTTATGTTATGTAGTCCTTTCTTATAATACTTAATTCCAATTTTATTATACGCAGTCTTGCATTTATGTTATGTTTCTCTGTTTTTTTTATATTATGCAGTCCTGCATTTATGTCATGCTGTCGCGTTTTTATGTTAAGTAGTTTTACGGTAGCCTCGCTTTCGATCCGAACGACGTCGTTTCTATCGTGCGCATATGTAGCACGGGTAAAGTAATATACGCATTATAATATGCACAACTGTTATATTCATATTGTTCTTTTGTTTCAGCTGCGGTAATATACTGCAATATTCCATCCACAATCACGCGATATTTTTTGACCTGTGTTATTTGTTGACCCCTGTGTTATTGTTTGATAAAATCATGGCAGTTCAGTGTAATAAAGCTGGGTAATAATTTTCACTATAGGTTAGACCGACTTAGCACTGGCCAATCAGCGCGAGAAAAGATTCGTATTAGCCAATCAAATGATGACAATCTGATAGCAATCAACATTTTAGTACATTATGTTAAATTGTGTCACAATGTTGCAACGATGGCCTACGTGCTGCCAGTAGTGTCAGTTGAATCGAGCGCGGTTCTCTGTAACTCAGTGGATACGTTGTATCTGATATTGGTGTTATAAATAAATTGTTGCAATGAAAATTTGATTGGAAAATGCAAGCCAATTGAACTTTTGAAATAATCATGGCTTAATATCTTATGATATTGGTCGTCTTACAATAATATTTTATAAATTATCAATAAGAATGTTATCAATTCACATATTTCAAGTCTATAAAGTTAACCTGGTCAATTTAGACTAAAGAGTAGATATTGAAACTGTTCTTAACAAGCCTTAGCCAATGTCTCAACTACCCGCCGGATTTGTTTGATTGTCCCTACCCTCAAGAAATTGCACACAATATGCCATGTCTTTCGAAAATTGCAAAATATTCACCCGCTTTCAAGCAATAGAGGTTTTTCCCTGTTTTCAAAACATTTTCATGGAACAGCTTTTTTGATGAACAGTTCCATTGACTGCACCTGCTATGTTTGCGACATAATTTCAATTTTTCCATTCTCAACTTCTATAGTTCACATCACATATTGGGAGCGCTTAATATGTTCGGACACATAATATGAGGTTATTACGAGGATAACGAAAAGCATGCACGAAGACAGTACAGCGGGACTATCGACCCACGCGGTCAAACTCTGGGGGCTGCAATGTTTATTTTTTTATTATTAGGGGAGCTTACTCGCGCAATCGTTCCATATTTGGAATTCGCATTTACTAATAGGGTAGAATAAAAAATACCCAGTGCAATACCACAAATTGGCGTTACGGTGACAGATGTATATAGGAAGCAGTGTAACTACATGTATTAGGGACATAAAATTAGTATATCTCTGTATGGGGGAGTATAATTCAGACACATATTTGGGGCAGCATGTCTGCATGCAAGAGGGTATAATTTATGGCTCATATTGAGGGATAAATAACTCTTTGAGGGAATGGGTGGTTAATTCAAGGTAAAAATTAAGAGCAGATTATTGGCGATCCGCTCTACTAAGATTGCCCTTACAATCACTTGTGTCTGTGTGTGCGTGTAAACAGTGTCTTCTCTTATTGGTGTTCTGCTCCGCTAGGATTGCCCTTAAAATCACTTTGTGTGTATGTATGTGTGTGTGACTTCCCGTGCCGTCACTCATTAATTCTTCTGTGACCTTTTTTGTCCACTGTTGCCATAGCAACAGCTAAAAAACTGATTTTCGAATTGCTTCGCGCCAAATGTATCTCCTCCTACAAATTTAGGACATAGCTCATTCTACTCAGCTTGAGTGTGGGCACAAAGTTAACATTCGGGTGCTCACATTCTATATGCTTCAGTGCATGCCAAAGTAACGTGCCTGGGATAATAATTCACTATGTTTAAATCACTTGGCCAGACGGTGGGGGATCTGTCAGCCGTACTTGATAAGGCTCCGCCCTTTTCACCCTAGATAACTTCATTTCGAATATTTTGGCCAATCAGTGTGTCTGGCTCACATGACTACCATCTGATAGCCGTCTTCTCTGACATCCTCTTCTTTTATTTGTGGTAGAAGCTTCTAGTGGCCAGAACTGTTACGATTTTCTCGTCTCAACGTATACACATATATCGCACAAAGGTTAGTGACTATTATATTTTAATCGTAAAATGGTTGAAATTTAAGTCTGGCAACAGGGTAAATGTTCATACTGTTGTTCTGACCGAATTTAATTCGATTTTTTTTTGCTAATGAAACATACTTAACATTGAAATGAATCTTATTCGGGGGGTACGTGTCACTCTTCACTGATTTTTTTTTTTAAGGATTACTTCAAAATTTGACGTTTTGCCAGGCGTCTCAAAAAACTACATCCATTTTACCACACATTGCTACATACATTTTCAATAGAAGTACTGCCCACAGTGTGACAATTACTGCGACTTTTACTGTTTCGTACTTGTACCAAAGAATATGTAGGGCATAACATGATATCGTATGTCTAAAATATGTTGGCCATGACATATATAATGCAGTCATTGATTTATTATCATGTTATTCGTGTCACAGTACAATGTACGCGACAGTTCGTGACTTTTACACACACATGATATTGGTTGAACTATATTTAGATATCATACGAGGAGGTAGTTGACGAACAAACATGCAAATCTGCAAACTCAGTACTATTTATAGACGGAGTGGCTGGATTTCACGGATTTTGTCCTGTCTGCAATGCCAACCTGTCTAACTATGTACGGAGAAAATCTACCGTGGTGTTACTTGGTTCAGTGTCAATTAATCTTGTCTACATTTTGATTTAGCTGAGCTAAACTTAAACGAGGAGTAAAAAAAAGCCTTCAATAAAATGTTTGGACTTTGTAAACACGCTAATGTCAATACTACATACAATACCGGGTATGTCAATACTACATACAATACCGGGTATGTCAATACTACATACAATACCGGGTATGTCAATACTACAACAATACCGGGTATGTCAATACTACATACAATACCGGGTATGTCAATACTACATACAATACCGGGTATGTCAATACTACATACAATACCGGGTATGTCAATACTACATACAATACCGGGTATGTCAATACTACACACAATACCGGGTATGTCAATACTACATACAATACCGGGTATGTCAATACTACACACAATACCGGGTATGTCAATACTACACACAATACCGGGTATGTCAATACTACATACAATACCGGGTATGTCAATA